TAGCTGTTTTTATAAGTTTGTTCACAGCCATCAATCACTGAGTTTTGACGATTAAGCTAGCTGTTTTTATAAGTTTGTTCACAGCCATCAATCACTGAGTTTTGACGATTAAGCTAGCTGTTTTTATAAGTTTGTTCACAGCCATCAATCACTGAGTTTTGACGATTAAACTAGCTGTTTCTATAAGTTTGTTCACAGCCATCAATCACTGAGTTTTGACGATTAAAGTCAATAAATAGAACAGATTTGGAACTTTGGGAAGTCAATAAATAGAACAGATTTGGAACTTTCGGAAGTCAATGAATAGGACAGATTTGGAACTTTGGGAAGTCAATAAATAGGACAGATTTGGAAGTTGGTAAATGTAACTGGAAAAAATAATGACGATAAAAATATGAAACCATATTTGTTTAAAATCCATCGAAGTGATTGCATGCTACACAATGTATATATCATAAGAGAATGAGGCTTAGAATACAGAACGTTCTAGGTGTATGAAAAGTTTAATTTTACTGAATACCGTGAGTTACCAGTCAGCCCGTATGAAGTACGTTTTGTAACATTATTTGTTCAGAGTAGAATTAGCTCTCTCAGTCCTTCGTATCTTCTATCTAGCTCGTTTGGATCTACGTATATTTTCTGTGTGTTTAATCAGGATCTGTCTCTGTAAGAATATTCTAGAACATCCCAATAAATCGGGACCTGATTTCGTGACCTAGTCTAAGCGGTGGCATTCTTGACTTTAACAAGCATAGGAAAATATTAATTTAATTTTTTATTTAGAAAAAGGAAACCATAAAGTAAGTTAGCCATAAATCTCCAAAACGTTAACTTGCGTCAGCCTTGAACTTCTTCCACGACAGACCTGTTAAAACGTTTAACTCTTTATCCTGCTTGCTCACGAACTAATTAAAAGCGGTAGATTTATGGAGGTTCTTCTTGCACGAACAGCCTGCAAGTTTAAATGTCGGAGTAAAACGTAGAGATTACATGAAAATGGAGACTTGGAACACTTGATCTTCATGCTAAGAAGACGACAAAAGATCAAAGTAAACGTTAGATGGAGTTTTACGTTCTTAAGTTATGGTTCTAGTTAACTTAACTTAGTAACTTAACTGTACGTTAAGATTATACTGGATTTACCAAGACAAACTTTACGTTAAGATTATACTGGATTTACCAAGACAAACTTTACGTTAAGATTATACTGGATTTACCAAGACAAACTTTACGTTAAGATTATACTGGATTTACCAAGACAAACATTACGTAAGCTGCTTAATGAACTATACCCTTACGTCAAT